CAACAGCGGATATTTTAAACCTGGTACTTGTTGCCGGAAGCAATGGCAAAGCTTTATGTTGCATTTCCAGTGCCTTATCTTCTTTTACTTCCAAAAACTCCAACTCTTCGCTTTTGTTAACAAGGAATATTTCGGATATTTTAAATCATCCTCAATTATGTTACATAAAAATGGGTTTATGAAATATGCAAACGTACATATAAATAACTTCAAATCGGCAAATCTCTTTTCAAAATCTGCTTTTAAATCATTTGCATTATTTTTTTTTTTCTAGCCATGAAAAATGATGAAATATTCTTTTTTTGAGATCATGAATAAAAAGGCGTAGTTTAGCTTCAAAACTTAAAGTAATTTGCGACAAATCAACAACATTTTTATTCTCTCCTTGGAGAGACAAATTCAAGTTTTGCAAATGTTCCGTCATATCGGAAAAGAACATTAAGTCAGAAAACCAATTTTCATTCTCCAATTGCGGGTAATATTCCGATCTAAATTTGCGTATGTTTATATAAAAAGAATAAATTTAAAAAAATAACACAATGGAAAAGAATGTCTACAAAGAAATATGTATTTTAAAAAGTAAAAAGAGCCAAAATGTTCTAAGCAAAGTGGAAGTAAAAAGAGCCGCACTTTGCCAAGCAAAGAGCCGCATTTGGCTCAAAGAGTCGTGTTTGCCCACCGTTGCCATATAGGCTAGGGCCAAAAGTAATAACCGTACTAGAAATTCGCTGAAATTTCGTATATGCGCTATTTGGCACTTAGGAATAAAGAAATGTGGAAAATGGTAAAATTCAACGCGCTATAACGCCCACAGCTCTTATGGGCGGAAATATGTAGTAAATTGTACTTTATTTTTATAGTAATTCCTTAAGTTTTTTTTAAGAGCCGCGTTTGCCCCACCGTTGTTATATACTTTGATTATAAATCCGTAATTAATGTCACATTTTATTTGCTGCTAGTAGTTCATTTTTTTGAGCAGATCCCTCCCAGCTCAGCTGAGAAATACATCCATCTATCGTCAATAATTTTAGTCTTTTATTAGTTTTTTTTTTATTTAGGCACAGAGAGGAAAACGAACTAAAAACTGTAAAGTATTATTCCTCGATTTTATGGTACTCCTTCGGCAAATGAGCGATATTCTTATGTTGCTTCAACTATTTACATATTTACGTGTAAGAATTTCACAAATTAAAGAAGTCTAATGTCAGAGATTTGCTCGTATTTTACTTTTAGAATTAATAAATTTGTAAACAACTTTTAATCTCAAATTTCCGAACCACAACTATCCTTAGGCCTCTTATTCAGAGCTATTTAAAGCACTTAACTTTGTCAAAGCCAATGCAAGTTTCTAAATAGTATTTACATATCTCAAACTTATAAACTTATGTATGTACATTAGGGTGGTCCAAAAACAGTAAAGTCGGAATTGTAATGCTCTCACCACCTAGTATTGTTCTATATTGAAAAAAGTATACCCCTATTTTTTTATTTTGAAATCAAAAGATATTTAGAGGTCGCTCAAAGCGCTCAAAGTTTCCCAAGTGTTTTTATATGGGAAAAATAAATTTTTTCGTAGAAAGGGTATAGAATTCTTGAAAGTCAATATTTTTCGATCGGAGAACTCTGGTTCTCTTCAGGAGACTTTCAGTAATAACACCCAATTGTTTATTTAACCATTTTTTAATACTAACGATTTTTTATTGGTCGCCTCATTGCATTTTTCGGGGTTTTTGTGGGTTTTTGGCGGACCTGTAAATTATAGTTGCAATAAAAAAATGGTTAAGTAAACAATTGGGTATTATTATTGGGAATCTCCTGCAGATAAACAGAGTTTTCTGGTAGAAAAATATTCATTTTTAACTATTCTATACCATTTCTACGAAAAGTTGTGTTTTACCCATATAAAATACATGGAAAACTTTGGGCGCTTTGAGCGACCTCTAAATATTTTTTGATTTCAAAGTACAAAAATAAGGGTATATTTTGTTCGGTATAGAACAATCCTAAGAGGTAAGAGCATAAAAATTCCGACTTTACTTTTTCACATGCATTTTTGGACCACCCTAATGTACATAGATGACATATTTTATTCTCTTGTATACCTTGCCTTCTGTACGTACATACTAGGGATGTCGCGAATGTGGAATTTTAGACATCCGCGGATGCGAATGCGGATGCGGATGTTTAAAAGCTAACATCCGCGGATGCGGATGCGAACGCGGATGTCAAATATTTTTAAGAAATAAAACTGATGAGTACATTAGGTGATTTAGGTAAATAAAAAATGGAAAAGTTAGTAATTTTTAATAGTGTTTTTTTATTTAGTACTTAAGTTAAACAATTGGAACATTGTATTTAAGAAAGAGTAATTTTGCTGCCTTTTCCGGTTACAGCCTATTTCCTGACTTGTCGTAAATCAAACCTGCGCACTAGGTAACTACGCGCTCGAAACTTGACAACATTGTAAATTCTTTTCGATTGACGCTGCACCAGTTAAGAGCACTTTCAGTTATATTTCTTTTTTTTTTATTGCGTTGCAATAATTCCTTTTTGACAATTGCATCGGGGCTGCAAGTGTCGGATGCATCCTCTTGACTTTCATCTTCACAATCTAGCATTATGGCAAGATCGATGTTTAAACACCGTTGTGTTCCAATTTGGAGAACCAATTCTTTTGTTTGTTTCAGAATTTGGAGAACCTGTTACGTCATCAGCGTTTTTCGGTTTTAGTTTTAGCAAATCATTTTTAATACTGTCTTCTGGGACTGGTTTGAAAAATGTGTGCTTATAGCGACGTTGTGAATAGGTGGATATGGCATATAAATTGTTATTTTCTGGGGATGAAAATTTCGAAGAAAATTCTGTTTTGAAAGTCGTGGCTGTCAGCAGAATTAGTTTAAAATCTTGTTATTTTGTTAAAAAGGTACCCTGCTTTTTATAATAATTTTAATTATTTGAATCACGACCAGTAATGAATAGCTTGTATATAGTTTTTTTTATTAGTTAGTTGAGCTCGGCTTTTCCTAGTTGCAGGCAGTCACAATTGATTACTCACCGCTGTCGGTACCATAACCCATCAAATCCGTTTTGTTGTTCTATTTCATGCGCTCAATGTGTTTTGATATATTTTTTGAGGCGAATGAAAGCAAATTTTCAACATATCGTTAATACTAATTTAAAAGGGCGNTACATTAGGTGATTTAGGTAAATAAAAAATGGAAAAGTTAGTAATTTTTAATAGTGTTTTTTTATTTAGTACTTAAGTTAAACAATTGGAACATTGTATTTAAGAAAGAGTAATTTTGCTGCCTTTTCCGGTTACAGCCTATTTCCTGACTTGTCGTAAATCAAACCTGCGCACTAGGTAACTACGCGCTCGAAACTTGACAACATTGTAAATTCTTTTCGATTGACGCTGCACCAGTTAAGAGCACTTTCAGTTATATTTCTTTTTTTTTTATTGCGTTGCAATAATTCCTTTTTGACAATTGCATCGGGGCTGCAAGTGTCGGATGCATCCTCTTGACTTTCATCTTCACAATCTAGCATTATGGCAAGATCGATGTTTAAACACCGTTGTGTTCCAATTTGGAGAACCAATTCTTTTGTTTGTTTCAGAATTTGGAGAACCTGTTACGTCATCAGCGTTTTTCGGTTTTAGTTTTAGCAAATCATTTTTAATACTGTCTTCTGGGACTGGTTTGAAAAATGTGTGCTTATAGCGACGTTGTGAATAGGTGGATATGGCATATAAATTGTTATTTTCTGGGGATGAAAATTTCGAAGAAAATTCTGTTTTGAAAGTCGTGGCTGTCAGCAGAATTAGTTTAAAATCTTGTTATTTTGTTAAAAAGGTACCCTGCTTTTTATAATAATTTTAATTATTTGAATCACGACCAGTAATGAATAGCTTGTATATAGTTTTTTTTATTAGTTAGTTGAGCTCGGCTTTTCCTAGTTGCAGGCAGTCACAATTGATTACTCACCGCTGTCGGTACCATAACCCATCAAATCCGTTTTGTTGTTCTATTTCATGCGCTCAATGTGTTTTGATATATTTTTTGAGGCGAATGAAAGCAAATTTTCAACATATCGTTAATACTAATTTAAAAGGGCGTATTTCACATTGTCGCTGAAATACAAAAAATCACAACTAACTAAATTTTTGTATTGCCTAAAACGATGTGGGGACTTATGATTCGATGAAATGCATGATAATCAAAAATTATTAATAATAATAATGAATTAATTAATTATTTAATTTGTGAACTTGGCTGTCAACTTATTTAGTACATATCATTTCATCTTTATTTCGATGCGTGGTAATTTTGACAATTTACACAAAACTAAAATAAATGTTTCTGTTTCTGAGCTGAAAGACTAATAAAAGGGAACACGGAAGCATACTAAGTTTTATGAACATACTAAGTTTTATGAGAAAAAAAAATTACACCTTTCTAAGAAGAAGTAGAAAAAACTAGCGATTAACGTAGCATCTCCATTTTTTTTTTGTTTGCCAGATATATGTTTTATCAGTGCACATGCACAATATTCGCATTCGCAAATGCTCCGCATTGATTATTGCGAATGCGAATGTTAAAATTTATGCGGAAGTTCCGCGGTTGCGAATGCGAATATTCGCAACAACCCTGGTACATATGTACATATAAAGTTCACAAGCGACCGTATTAAATTTGTAGGCAACATGGATTTGCACTTCAACCTGCGTTGCGTTGCTTCGGAGAGTACTGACTTTGCTCCAACTGGCTTTTTAAAAATGCTGCGACAGAGAACTTTTTTCGCACAAAGCGCTAAAATATGTTGAAATTTTCTTGTTGGTTGGATGCCCATCCGTTCACTCTACGAATTTCTTCTTACAGCTTCCATATCTACTTATTTACTTATTTAATATATGTACATACTACATTCATACTTACTCATCTCAAACTCATACTGATTTTATTAGAAATTTTCTTCCTTACCATTTCGCAACGTTGCAGATCCGGTGATGACGCTAATGCCCGGCCAGGAGCCAAACGTAGGCATGTTCATCGAGGAACACAAAAAGCGTGCCGATGGTGACCCAAATGCACCGCCTTTCGACGACTTACGCAATTACGCTTATGAAGGTGGTGGTAGCACAGCCGGCTCGCTGAGTTCGCTGGCCTCTGGTGAGTACTTCAATGAATAGCTGGAATATATGTAGGAAAAGGAATGTAAAAAATGAATATAAACACAACTTAGTACATGTAACACCGTCCAACAAAATAAGACTATTTTGCACCCATAAAAAATCAAGAATTTCTGGAAAGTAGTGGCAAAAAAGGGCCCGTGTTTCTGAATCAATTCATTTATGGTTTCTATGAGAAAAAAGAACAATGCCGATTCAGTCAATAGAATATTGCCTTTTGATCTTTTAAACTTTATTAAGCTTCGTATTGAAAGGTCCTTGGGGTTGCTAATTACGTATTTGAAAACAGTTTTTAAAAACTCAACATTGCGGATGCATGTTTAAACTAATTTTCAGCCCTCTATGAAATTTTAACCCACTTCAAAAAAAAGGAGGAGGTTATTAATTCGTCGGAATATTTTTTTTATGAATGTTACCGCATAACTTTGGACCACGTGAACCGATTTCTATAAATAATTTTTTAAAGGAAAGGTGGTATCCCCGAGGTGGTCGCATTCTCATTTGGTTTAGATCCGATCATTGGATCAAGAAGAAATTAACGGAACTCTTAAAATTTTATATGAGAACTGAAGTCGGTTTTGTTTTTTGCTTAAAAATTACTTGTATATCCAAGAGTTTTTTGAGTCGCTGATTACAACAAGTTTATTTAAAATCTGTGACCTTTAAATTTCGATCCCTTTATACAAAGACTACTCCTCTACTTAAAAGATCAAGGGACCGGTTCTAAAAAATTAAATATGTGTGTATTTCTTTTAGGAGAATTTTGGTAATATATATGTATATTTAAGAATTTGTAGTAATTTGCATGAAAATTGATAAAAGTTATTTTCTTAGCTTTAACTCCAATTACTAGTGTTAACTTAAAAATTAAATAATTTTTTCTGATTTACTTAGTCTATTTACGGATATTTTTAACTAATACTGTTTGTTTTTAAGTATAATTAATTAACTAAAATTAATTTTTGGCTTTTCATGCAAATTGCTAAAAATTCTAAAATATGCTCAAGTAGCACACTGGTGTATAACTTGGTGTAAATTTGTGAATTTTCAATTAATCAGATTTATACCGAAATTCGTAAATTTACAACAAGTTATATACCAGTGTGATACTTGAGTACCTGTCCCCAATAAAAACAATCTCGACAATCTAGGTATTATAATTATTGTAGGGGAGGGGCGGAAAGTTAAATTTCCAGGCCTGTGTTATATTTAAACTTAAACAACAAAATAATGACCTTTAGAATTTTCCAATTTTGATTTTAATTTTGTAATTATCCACCACTCCATATTGAATCCGCCATTTTTTAAAACTGATTTCAATTTCCTAGTCATCGACTCATAACTTTCGGATATCCAAATTCATAAAAATCTGAATTTTTAAATCCATCCGCCATTTTGAATTTTTAAAAACTTACTTCAGATTTGTAATCAGCAAGCCCAAAAACCCTTGAATACGAAGTTTAATAAAGTTTAACAAATCAGAAGGCAATATTCTATTGACCGATTCAGTATAGAGGTTGTTTTCCCCCATAGAAACTGTAAATAACTTGCTTTAAAAAAACGGCAAAATACTGGTACCAGAAGTCTCTTCTTTCCGAAAATGCTGGATTTTTTCATGGGTGCAAAATTGTGTCGGACTCTGTAATAAATGAATAAAGCTAAGGGTGTTAATTAGCTTTATATATTTTTTTTTTTGAATACAGTATATTTTGCTTAGCTGCACATCCTTCTTTGCACGAAAAACTTGTGCACTTAACCGAAAAAGGCAATTAAGCGAATTTTCTTTCCTACTTCAATGAGGAAGGTATCCAAATTCCTATGAAACCAAATAATAGAGAAGCACTTACCACGTAGAAATTACTGCAAGTGAAATTTTTACCGAATAGTATCTAATTATCTATATAACTACATAAATTTATAGCCATTTTCGTTGTTCTGCCTGATGAACAAAAAAAATAAAAAGTTGTAAAATTAGGTAATTGTAGGGCCAGTGCAGGTAAACGTAATACTTACTTTGATAATTGATACTAGTCGCACAATTTTTAAGGCAGGTATCGCCAATGTGCAGGTATGCTAAATGCATCTATCGGAGCAGTTTCCTTATAAGTGTTAAAAATAATGCCTCTGATACGCATTTTGGGGTAGATATCTTAAATGTGCACTTAAGCATAGAGGCAGCAAAGCAAAATATACTGTACATACACTGAGAAATTAGTTTAGTTTCGATAACTAAATATATTTTAATAGTTGCACATTTTTTCATTATTTAGGAACTATGTATTACCAAGGCTTGGGAACCATAACCGACGTTTGGTAATTACAACTAAATGTACATATTAAAACTGGTTACATTTGTCTACGTTCAGCCAAATTGTTGAAAATTATGCACGCGAAACGTTTAACGGGCAAAATTAGGTAATATCGGAAGTTCTTCTGGTGCGCGCGTAAGTCAACAGGGCATTTCTCAGTGAATATAAAATTCAATTTAGTTATAATTTAAGGGTATATGCATGTGCATCCCATGGTACGTAAAGCAACTGATATTGACCGGAGTTTCTCACGACTCTTTCTGTTTTATCGCTTTTTTTTCGGGAAATTCTTACCACCATATGTTTACATTAATAACTCTTTATTCCCTTCGGTGCCAACTGACGCCAAAGGGAAACTCCTTTCCATCGCAGAGGAGGCCTCCCTCTTCCTCTGGTACCACCAGCAGGTCCCGAGTTAAAGACTTTCAGAGTTGAACCTTCTGTATCCATTCGGACGATATGGCCAACCCAGTGGAGCCGCTGCATTTTAATTCACTACACTAAAGAACGTGTCAGACGTGGCAATATTTCGAACTTTTCCACGCAATTCGCTGTCAAATTGAGAAAAAGAAATTTCATTTCGATGTAAGAAGAGCCAGAAAAACCTTTCTGTCACATTTTGGAAATCAGTTTCAAAAATAAAAGTTGCAAAATGTGACTGCAATTTAGAGAGCGCAAATCGATTTCGGAAATATATTTCAACTTGCTCGTGCTGCACTAGCAATCTGCAATTCACCTTTTGGAAATTAAAAACCTCTTTCTAAAGACATTTTACATGCAAGGTGTGACTGCTCATGCAACTGCTTTCTGAAATTTCTCAATTTAACAGCATTTTCGAAAAATTGCCACGTCTGACACGCTCTTTAGTCCATGTGTTTGTAAAGCTCATACAGCACCTCGTTCTATCGTCTGCGGTAATCGCCATCGCCATCGCCGTCGCCAACGCGTAAACGCCCGTAAATTTTTTCTCTCGATAATGCTAATGCTGGTTGCCAAATAAACAAAATTCTCTACCTTTTCAAAATTATAACCGTCAACAGTGACATGGGTGCTGGGGCGAGAATGCGCTGGCTGTTTGTTATATGACAGGAGGTACTTCGACTTGTCCAGACTAAATCGCTCTGTTTTCTTATCGAACTAAGAAAACGAACAGCATATTTCTTGTTATTTTTCACCGATGATGTCGATGTCATCAGCTTATGCGCACGGTGGGCAGGAAGCGAAGATAGGTTGCATAAAAATGTCGACAAAATCTGAAAGCAGGGTTGTATTTGTTGATATCTTAAGGTTAAGAATCCGCTTAAATTGAAATCCTAGCTGCTCCTGTTTTAAAGATATCCACATTTTATATACTTCTGATAGGATATATTTGCAAAAGAGGAAGGCGTACTTCTCGATAATTAGAGCATATTTATACGAAAAGAAATCTCATACAAATCTGTTCACTCCGCATAATAAGTAAATAAATTCAAAGCTTGTATGAGATTTATTTTGGTATTTATGTACTCTTCTGTCAGGAAATAATGACTATTGTACTTCCAGAACACAAATGCGATCATAAAGAAAATCGCATGAAAGTATGCGCTTTGTGTGTAGGGCTGCCAGACGTCCCGGTTTTCCCGGACATGTCCCGGTTTTAGACTATTTGTCCCGGTGTCCCGGTCCAACCTTAAAATGTCCCGGGTTTCATTTAAGTGTCCCGGTTTTCGATTTGATTGCACAACTTTTGCTTAAAAATGACTACGCTGAGAGAAAAAACGCGTTGTAATATTAAGAAAAATTTTATGAATTTACTGGGGGAAATAACTCATAGTAAACATGAATATTTTTTATTTGATTATCGTTTTGAAATGTTCGTACTTAAAAACAATACTTTCATACCACGCACACGTGGTGTTGAATCAAACTGAACATTTTAATGCACATTTACATGTCTGGCTGTAGCTGAGTGCACGAAGATGCTTGGCACAATTTGCTAATTTCCAGAGCGTCAGGGTTCAAATCCCATTACAGACAACATGGAATTTAAATAAATTTTTTTTTTAACTTAATTATGAAAAAGCATCCGTTAAGTGCAAAGCGCTTTATTTTAATATTGGCGTATTTCAATTGAATATTTCTATACTAAATACTAAAATTTGTATACTTAAATTATTACGAGTTGGGTTGGTGCTCTTTCATATGCGATTTTTTTTTTAAATGTAGCACGTTTTGCATAAGCAATAGTTGATGATTAATATAAGTATGTACCTAAATACGTTAAAATGACATGCACAGAGTTTTACAATTATAGCAAAAGCCAGAAATTTTGAAACAAGCTCACAGCAACGAAACAAATGACTGATATTTTAATGTTACCTCGTATTTATTTATTTTTTTTCGCGAAACCTAGATTACTTATAAGTACCGTGCCGTACAAAATTATTGGCTCGGAGACACTTTCATCTGATCACAATTTCTAATCAGATCTTTTAGAAAAATGTTTAAAATGTAGCTTTTGAGCCAATTAGTAAAGTGCAAGTCTGAAGTTACCAGAAAATTTCGTTGATTTTTTGCAATTATTTATTTTTTGCTGACAGTGTCTTCCACATATAAAAAAAGGTCGAACATAGTTTGTATGGAAGAAACTCTCAGTAAAAACAATACCAAATATATTGCCTCGTTCAAAGCC